GTAAATGTTATGTATAAACCAAATTTGTGGATTTCTATTTCTTTTGATGTTTCACCTACAGCAACCCTAACTAGCAGAAACCTTCTTTTCTAATCAGATGCCAGAGTTGGTCTGTCAACACTAATCGTTATGGACCAATGCTCAGACAAAAATAGAACAGAAATAGAGTCATCTAGACTAGTGTTATTTGGCTATTTGTACAGGTCCTTAGTAGTCAATGGCAAATTGACAAAGGGCATGGATCTAGTCCAGTCTTTGCATGAAGAGCAGAAATGTTGTGTTTGTCACAAAAGTTGAATAATGTGTCCTTTCCTCCCCAGCTCTGGTAGCTTTGAGTGCAGACATCAGCATCAGCTATCGCTCACTCTTGGATGTTCACGTTGACTCTTACCTGGAGGGGGACTTCTCCAAGGTAAGAAGTCACTGAACACAACTGTTCAACAGTTTTTCTTCTCTTGTCACTGTTTTTAATGCTGTCTCCCACATCTATGAACTGTATACAGAAACATGGAATATAATGATAGAAGATGCAATGGTGTAATGAGAAAAAAGGCTCATCTAAGCAATTTATTTACATCTCTAGCGACCATAACTTGTCCAATACAGGCAGCTTGTTGTAGCAATTCCGTCCAGGGTAAATGGAGTGCTGTGTGCACCCCGTACAATTTAGCAGCTTTAAATCTCATCCTGATGAATGCAGTTGTAGCAATTCATTTTGTATTGACCATAGGTTGCAACAGAAACAAAGTGATACATGTGTATCATGTATTAGCACTGACTAGGAGAAAAATAAGATATACTATTAGCAGAATTAAGACGCAGGCTGCCTTGGAAATGAAATATAGTTAATAGATACATGGGGGAAATGGATGGTTCGATCTGGGTCAGCGGTTTTCAAACTATGAGATGAGCTTCCCCAAGGAGGTGTAAATAATGTGAGAGGAGTTAAATTAGAGCCTTTCTAATTCTCCAGTCCATCCTCATGTACTCTTTTGGGCAAGGAGACACTGGGGTGGAAAAACTGTATCTGGGTATCTCACTTCAGATAAAGACTCCTCTATAAAAAAATATACAATAAAAATCCCTGCATGTAGAAATCTAGCTGTTGGCGAAAATGCATTCCAAGCTAGCCTTTTCTCTGACATGCTGGTCTTCTATGTGCAGGGTTAATATTTTTTGGTATAGAGGATCATCCAATAAGACATCACTTCTGGGATCATACATTAAAGGTGGAACACACCAGACACAGGTTTATCACCTTACTGAGAACAAGGGCATAGCAACAACCCATCACTACCAACCTGTGCCATCTACTTGGTTGGTGCTCTGGGGCGCAGGGTCACTGGGCCAATATTACACACACACACACACACACACACGGCTTTGCTTGCCTAGAATCTCTCTCTAGGGGAATCTTTCTGTGATGTGTGTGTAGCTAGTTGCTTTTTTTTTTTTTTTTACACATTGGGGATGGGGAATCTGTGGCTCTCTAGATATTCTTGGATTACAACTCACAACCTCTGACCGTTGGTCATGTTTTCTGGAATTTAGAAGTCCAACAACAGCTGGATGGCTCAGCTGGTTAGAGTATGGTGCTGGCAACGCCAAGGTTGCAAGTTTGATCCCAGCTACCTATACCTGCAGTGCAGGGAGTTGCTGGATCCCTTCCATGATCCATGAACTTCTGGAGGGCCACAAGTTAAGTTCCCCATCTCCGACTACTCTGAAGTCACAATAGCAAATGTGAGCATAGGTGCGCTCCTCCATCTAGCTATCCTACAAAACCGGGTATTCTGCTCTTCCCCATGTTGTTCCTTTTCCCCCGTTCCAAGATACACATTCCTCTGCTCAATATCTTTCCTTTCTCAGCACAACTGTGCAAGCTGCTTGCCCAACTCATCCAAATTTAGAGCGTGCATCTTGCAGTTCCGACAACAAAAACATTGTATATGGTTTGAATGTTCATTTGCCCAAGGGACATGCTGTCCTTAACAAGTTATGGATATTGATAGCGCAGGCTCTGGTACTTCGTGTTTTAAATAGGTAAATAAGTGTTGATTAACATTTGTAGGCAATCTCAATGCAAGAATGTCCCACAGTTGAATGGGAGATAGCCAAGTACACTCTGCACTAGTCTCACAAGTCTGGACCTGTCTAGAGGCAACCCTATGGCGTGCTCTGTTCAGCCCTGTATCTTTGAAAAACAGTGGACAGCGAAAGGGACAGCCAGAAGGTAATGAGCGAATGCCGATCCAAATAGCTGCAGGAATAAAAACAAACGGAGGAATATTGCTTTTGGCCAAGTGTCAAGCATTCGCTCTGGCCACAGAAGTTCCACCTGCAGTTTTGAATAGGAGAACGGCTCTGTCCAGCATACTGGCTGGTGGCATCACAGCAATCAGGTATTTAATTTCCCCCCATGTAAAATCTAATCTGTCTGTAGCATTGATGGGTCCCCAAGAAGGGATTAAGTGTAGAGATCACGCTTCACACTTTGCCTCCATATAACGAGGGGAATCTGTGCTACAGCCTGAAATACATGCAAGGCTTTATATTGCGAACGCATCATGCATTCTGCTTGTACGTTCTGTTCTTCTGCCCTTTCTTATGACTCGTTTGTTTACACTCTCTAGTAGCCTACACGTAAAGAACCTTTCACTGAATGTTCTACTGCACAGATTGCTTACACTATTAACACTTTCATGTCTTATTAGCAGGACTGAAATAAATCCTATGTCATGGTTTAGTCTTTTACTAATGAAACTGTGAATTAAAGATTGGAATAAGAAAACCGGCGGAAGGGAAGGAGGAAAGTCAATGGCTCTATGGAGCATAAAGTAAGATAGATGTAAAAAGATTTGATATATTTGTTTGTTGGTGTTGGTGTATCTAAAATGAAAACTTAATAAAAAGCATATTCAAAAACAAAACAATGAAACACTTTCATGTCTTATATTTCAGGTAACGACTAAAATCAAGAATTAGGTCCCATTTTAAAAGGGAGTATCTGGATAGGACAATTTTATGTTTGCATATACATAGGCATCCTGGTTATTGGAAGACTTAATTTTCTTTCCTAGGGAAAAAAAGAGGCTATTCAAATATGAGGTTTGCTCAAAAGTTCATTTAATTACACGGTAAGCCTAAAATTGCATATGACTTAGAAATGCACTGTAATCATCTCCTTAGGAGCTATAAAAATTTGGTGCACTTGTCAAATACAAATATACAAGACACTTAAGTAGAATGACACTGATTGCAATTCCTTATAGACATACCTTATGCAACTATACATACACAAAGCAATTAGCAATTTTTGCTTTCCATTGAAGTCTGTATCGTTTTTCCACATGCAATCATATCGCTACATAAGACCAGGGTTCTAATTGATTGATCAACCTTGGCAGAATGTTTTTTTAAAACACCTTGAATATTTCAGTTCTGCTCAAATACTATTCTTGAGTAAATTATTTCAAATAATTTGTGCTTACAAAGTTTATGCTAGACTTCATGACTGGACTTCCCAATTCCTAAGCATATTACTCAAAAGTCCTATGGACTGTAGGGGTTATTTTTATGTAAAGCGTTGAGGCGGCACAGTTATTAAGGTGTTGTGTTTTACACCAGGGAAAATGGGAAAGCAGGAGTTTTTGCTCGGCAAACCTCCATCAACTCGTACTTGGGGATTTGGAATCCAGCGAGGTCATAGAGAGTCTAGCTGAGTATATGAAAGCAACTGGAGGAATGCCACCCAGATCAAGGTAGCTAGTTGTGCACTAGCTTAATGCTAAATAACTTCTTTTGCCCTCGACAGGATCTCTTGAGCTTGAATGGCCAAACCCTTTGAGATAAGGTTTGGGCAGTTGCTGAAATCCTAAGCATATTTGCAGCTTGACAGCACAATTAGGCACATCTGCCCAAGACTGGACAGTGGCTCCAACTGAATTAAATCTGCATACATAAGGATGCTTAGGGTTGTACGTTTAATTATTTCCATCGGTAAGATTTAAAGAGTGCAAGGCTATATTATATTGTTCGCGCCACATGCTAACATGCTGGTTTGTCATTTTTTTGCACCTGGAGGTGTGCAGTGTGAATGCGTAAAGGAAGGCTATTGATCTGTCTAGCCTTGTGCCACCTATTCTGACTGGCAGTTCTTCAAGGCGTCACCTGTGATCCTTTTAATTTAACATGCGGGGAGATGATCGTGAGATATTCTGCACATAAAATATGTGCTCACCACTGAGCACTTAGCATTTTGCTGCTCACTCATTGACTGCATTTAATGCACAGTGAGCTCATCATATCATGAATGGCTCGTGGGTAGGTAGGTGGTGAATCAATCAGACTGTGGCTTCATCACAAGCCCATCCGCAACAAGGCTGGAATAGATGGATGTATTTGCTGGAATTATTTTTAAACTGTGACCTTTTCTGGATTGGTTAGTAAGCATTCTGATGATGCCTCCTCCTTCTAAATCACAATAGGTGGAAACACTCTTCTGGCAATATTATTCTAGTTCAGAATATAGTAATACTACATGGAGATGAGGAAGAGGTTTATACAGTTGTACCTTGGTTCTCTAACGCCTTGTGACCCGAACATTTTGGCTCCTGAACATCGCAAACCCAGAAGTAAGTATTCCGGTTTGCAAACGTTTTTTGGAAGCTGAACGTCCGACGCAGTTTCCGATTGAGTGCAGGAAGCTCCTACAGCCAATCGGACGCCGTGCCTTAGTTTTCGAATGTTTTCGGAAGTTGAATGGACTTCCGGAATGGATTCTGTTCAAGAACCAAGGTACAACTGTATATGTCCAGTATTTTATAATAAGTGAAGCACTTTTCAAAGAAATCAGCAATGAGTATGGCATAATGTTAATAAAAGTCTTTCAAAAACAAGCTATTGTTAAAAAAAGAAATGTGATATAGTGCCATAAATTGCAGCAAAGTATAAATTACTATGCGAAAAAGTAAACATTTATATAATTGTTTTTTTAATATATATATATATAAAAAACTCCTTAAGAACTTTAGCGGCTACACCCTCCCAACCCAAATAAAATGCATATGGAAAACAATTTCTTTTGCATAATTTCATTAATATTGTGCAGCATGGTTTTTAATGTTAAACCAAATCCTTCATATACCAAAGGAAGACACTGGAGAAAATATGCTTCCTTGTAAAAAACAAAACAAAAAACAAAACAACCTTGCAGCTTCTGCAAATCTATCATGCACCAGATATTGGTGGCTCCAACTCCCACCAGCCCCAGCCAGCATTATCAATGGTCAGGGATAATGGGAGTTGTAGTCCAATGGTTTCTGGAGGGTCACACCCATCCCTGTTCCACAACCAACTCAAACCCTTTGCTTCCTTCATTACCTTTTACTTTACCATAATCATGAAATTGGAACTCGATATTTGAATACACAAAAAGGACTTAAACGTTTGACTCTGAAAGCAGAAGGCCTATGACCAGCATTGTTACCGAATTTCAGCAGACGTTTCATACCTATCCTCCTCTCCAGAGTCTGAGATCAGATTACCACACACATTTGTCAGACTGGCCTGAATCAAATGCTAGGTTTGTGTATGTAGCAGTTACTTGTACTACACTTCTCCCTCTATGTTGTAGACCATTTTACCTGAAACATGGCAGGCTTCAGAATTTTCAGAACACACTGAAGGTCTTTTCAGAGCTTGAAACATGGACATGCTCTCAGGTGTCACACAGAAATCTTAAAAGATACGTAGGGTAACAGGAACCCCTTTCACAAAGCAACTGCACATATTCAGAATTTGTTCTGAAACCATACGCTACATCGAACATCTCTAAAAGACACCTGCTTAGTAACCTGGGGTTGAATTCAATGTAGCGCTATGGTGAACGTTCCATCACTGGAAGGATTTTTCATTGCATGACGGAACATCGTCTACCCAAATCTGTTCTGAAGGGTTCTTCAACCTTCAGGAGAAGGTTTGGGGGCAGCACAGAGTATGCATGGGGGTGGCTGAGGGGAGAATTACAGCAGACATTCTGTCAGTTCTTCAAATTCTACAGGTGGAACAGTACAATCCTATTTCTGTCAAAGACAGCATTCTGCGTTTTCACTCAAGAATGGGGCTGTTATTGCACTGCAAGCCTTTTGCTTCCTAAGTACAGCTGTATTCACCTGTTGCCAAGAAGGTGAGGCACAATCTGTCACAGACATAAGCGTGCTGAAGCCCATCGAGATTAATGAATGTAGGAACACTTAACTCTGTGTTGCGTCATGACCAAAGAGTCCCATGCCACCTTAACAACTAGCTAATCAGACTTCCCATTTGGTCCTTTATATACAATCTTACCTACATGTGGCAAGGAAACAGCACTAACAGTGCCTGCTATTCTCATTAGTGGTGTAAACACTGGCAGAGAGAAAGTAAGTTATTATTTCTCCCACGGGAGGTAATAAATACTATGAAATGATAAGAGATGGTGCTGGAACAACACTGCTACTTATTATAACAGTGTCGTATATTGCAATATCAACACTGTTCATTTATTTACCACTGTTGGTGCTGTAGTTATGGAAATGCTCCTCTTTGCACCGTTGAAGTTTGCATCAGCTAGTGAGGGTGGTTGAGCCAGAGACTTACCAATGCCGGTGATGCTTTAAACAAAATGGCTGCATATATGTGACCCTGAGAATGGCTTGCTCCCCTTCTCCAGGTCTGAATGAGCCTTGAGATGTTCACAGGCAGTGCGGCAATGCAGACTGACTAGCTGTACTGCACTGTGCCACTGCAGCAACTTCCACATGGACAACACTTTGTATAGATGAATCTATTCTACTGCCTTTTTATTCTACCATTTGTTCTCATTTGTTACCCACGCACAGGAACTTCCTACACAGGATCCCCTGTGTGCAAGAAAGAACAGTGGAGCAGCTCCTTATTTATTTTGTGTAGCAGAAGTCATTAACAGTTTTCTGTGCATGGGAGACGGCTGCTGAATCAGAGTGCTCGTATCCAAAACCAACGAGGCACTATAAATTTATACAGTACTGGTATCCATAATATACTTTTGAGGACAAATGTGTCTGTGGGGGAGTGGGGTCTTGGGCATGGCAAAAGCAACCAAAAGCAGGTGGTCTTGGTCTCTCTAAACTTGGTGCCATAGCAATTAGTAGGCATTTGCTATTAGCAGCAGAAAAACAGATCAAAGTCCTCAGGCCTAGACAAGTATGAAATCTACTTACAGCTTACTTAAAAAAACCCAAAAGGCAAAACCATCAGCCTGTTTCAAGATCTAACCTAACATCTCTCCCACTCTACCCCTAATTTTTGTACAGTTCATAAACTGCCCCTTATACAGCCACACTGAATATCAAATGCACAGGAGTTGAGCAAGGGTTTTATGCATCTTCAATTCACCCATTGGGGCTTGCAGAGAAGATGTTCCAAGTGGCTTGTGACCTCTAACTACAATCTACCAAGTGCACTTCTGCAGCAGCAAGTTCCCCTGTTGCTGTAGAGAAGATAGATAGCTCAGTCTCAAATATAACAGTGCAATGTAAACGTACAGCCAGGATGAATTTCCCTCAGTTTCATGTTCAGCTCAAAGGAAGCAGCCTACACACTGATCCTAATTAATGCTCAGTTGATAGACTGCTGTTATGGTATGGTTACTGCTGCAAAACTGTTTCCCTGTAGCTGGCTCTGGTGCTAGTCTGTTAACTTAACAAACTTTTGCATTTCATGGGTACTTCCTACACTAGCTTTGGTAACCACAATAGAGGAAAGATGTTCGTAAGGGAAGTATCAAGGTCCAAAATACTGATAAGATCTAGGACAAGCATGGGGAACCTTTGGCTCTCCAGATCTTCCTGGACCAAAACTCCCTTCAGCCCCAGCCAGCATGGCCAATGGTCAGGGATGATGGGAGTTGTGGTTCAGCAACATCCGCAAGGCCAAAGTAAAGAGATAAGAGCAACGAGTTCATTACATGAGGAAAAGTTAATGCATTTCCTTCTTCTTCTGCCACTGTAAAACTGAAGTGATACCTGTAAACATAGTCAACAGAATTTCTTTCAAGTAAAAGTAATGACTTTGAAGAAGAAAGCGACCTCCTCACAGAAATTCAGGGTTCACCCAATATCTGTCTCTACCTACCTCAAGGCATTCATTTTCCTGGGCAGCTGAAATTTATATTTTTTTACCTCATAAACATTAAAATTTAGTGTATGTTCTGAAATGGGACACGTCCAGACTCCATGCTTTAGCAATCAATTGCAGAAAAATCCCGACATCTTCCAGCGAAATTCCTAGACTTTCACCCATGTCCACTCTCATTATCATCAACCTCGTGAACTGTATGTGTACACCATTAAAACCAAACCAATAAGCTAACACCCCAACTGGCACTTTTGCTCAAGCTGCAAACTGTCTGACAGCACAGGCCTATACATGCCTACTCTGAAGTAAGCCCCACTGAGTTAGGTTGGACTTGCTCCCAGGGAAGTGTGTATAGGATTGCAGCCTAAAATAGCCTAATGTCCCTTAGGAGGTCTGGATAAGAATATGAAAACCGTATCAAAATACATTGCTGCGCTTATAATCTGAAGTTGGCTCCAACGTTGACGATCACCCGGCTTTCGTAGACTTTCTTCATGGTTCTTTCGATTTGTTTCAGAAAAACCTGAGGAATTCGCCCACATAAAGTGTGTACAGTATCAAGGAATTTTGACTGGAGAGGGTAGTACATTGATTGGAAGAGATTGTCTTCAAAGGGAAACTAAAGAACAAAAGAAAAAGGATTAAAAGACAGACAAATAATATTCATAATAATCATTGCTTTGCTGAGTTTTTCCTATAAATTTTAATGCGGAGGCAGGGAGTTTGACTATCAAGACATGCTGTGGTACAATGCAGTGGTAAGCTGATAATATTACATGCTGCTGTTGTGCTCCCCTCTCATGCAACCCTATTCTGTGCAGAGTTACCTGCTCCAAAAGAGGGGTTTCCCCCCAAAGCCCCCTGATCAAAATATAAGAAACCCTGCACCAAATTGCCCTGTCGGTCTGTTTATCAGTTCTATCAATTCTGACCAATAGTGTACAGGATCTTAGGGAAAGGCCTATCCCAGGATTGCAATGTGAAATGCTAGAGATTGAATTTTATACACACACACACACACACACACACACAGAGAGAGAGAGAGAGAGAGAGAGAGAGAGAGAGATTCACTCTGTCACAAATATCTTAACCTGAACATCTTCCCCTCTCAAAAAAGGTCACCAATAGCTCTCATCCTACTTCCCACTTTACTACCACAGTACTTAAAAATTTGGACAATCTGTCTAAGTTGGTGTGGTGCCATCTCAAGCTACTGCAGAAACTGAACTGAGTTTGGACTTTTTTGGATCTAGGCCTGCGTGTTGAGGCTGGTGAGGCTACTGAGCTGCACTGCAGCTAGAACATGGGTCTATCGGTACTGGGTCCATTGTGTGTGGGAATAGGTTTAAATACTCAGTTTCCCATTCAATGAGCTTGAGATCATGATTCCCCTCTCTTCCTGGGGAGGGTGGGGGGTAGAAAAGAAAAGGCAATAAAGGCAATTTTGTTTGGAAAGTGAGGAGTTAAAGCAACAGAGTTGGTTCCTAGAGAGGAGATTGTGGAGCATGGTGAATGAAATGGCTAGAAGGGAATTTAGAAAAAATGAATGAGCAGTCTATACAGGCCATAACCCAGGTGGAACTGAAACATGATCTACATCTGGGGAAGTTACACAACTATTCCACTTAGATAAATAAGGGGTCTTTTGAACTACTGGTGGGGGTGAGGTGGAGAACAGAACCTGAGCAGGGGGGAAACACAAAGAAGATGCTTTGTTAATGATGTTTAACCAAGTACATACATACATACATACATACATACATGTGTGTGTGTGTGTTGCTATTCCACAACAAACTGCCTGCTGTGAAAACAGGCCCATCACACAGGGTTGTGAGGCTAAAATAGTGGGGGAAGAAACCATTTATGCTGCTTTGAGCTCTTTGCAAGAAAACAGAAATGCATGGCATAAGGTAATACACCACATCACATGTGAGAACATGGCATGAGACTGTCTCCCTGGGCAGGGCAACACTTACATCACGTATCACTTCATAGAGTGCTTTGAAAGTAGGCTGTTTGTCATCATGGTAGACACCTCTGTTCCCATGTAGAATAGAAACGCCTTCTTCCTCTGCTCCTTTACAGTTACTGCCATACATGCAATGATCCGGTCGATAGTTCCATTGGCAAGGAAACAGATAGAGACACTCTAGAAATCCCAATTTGAGCAAAGATGCCGGGGTGGGGGGATGACAACAATTACTAATCAACATCTATAAATTGGCACGAAACACAAAACCTTCAAAATGTTATCAGAAATTCTGAAATAAGGAAAGCTACACAATTTGGAAACGAATCATGTGTCTGCTATTCCAGGCACGTCCAACAGGTAGATTGTGATCTACCGGTAGATCACTGGACGTCTCTGGTAGATCACTGGCTCCCCCCAAAGAACCTCAACAAGTTTGGCTCCCCTAAAAAAAGCTCAGCATTTTTGCCCTGCACCCCAAAGAGATGGGGCTTTCCTCCCTCCTAAAAAAAGCCCTACAACTTTGACCTGAACCCCCAAAAGGGGGGTAGATCACTTCCTGGCCCTACTCACACAGCCAGATGGTTATTCCAGGGCCCTTCCTTTCTCTATAGTACCATGGCAATATTTTGCCTTTGAGCTTGAGCCTCGCAACAGCTAACAGCTCGCAGCATGGTTATAGCTACCATACAGAAGAATTCTAAGTGGAGAATGCATGAAGTGGGTGAGGGGGAATTATTTATTTAATGCAAGTGTTTGTCTATCACTTTCCATCAATAAAACAATCACAATCTGTTCTCATCCACAGGATTGGCAGCACAGGCCAATGAGGCAGAGTCTATACACACCACCCTGTCACATATTCTAATGAGACCTAATAATAATAATAACAACAATAATAATATATCTACACATGCCTATAATATACAGTCTGTGCAACGTGTACCTGGATTAAAGTAAAAAATGATGTTGAGCAAGTCCTGGTCTCCCCATGTTATGTAGTTTTTGTACTTCTGGTATAAAGGGTACAACATCTCCTCCCATGCCAAGCCTGTCGGTATCATGCTGTTCTGAAAGGCAGGAATAAACGATAAAGAAATAAAAGTAGAAACCAGCAGAAATCACAGCAGGAGGAAGGCGTAGCAGCGCTGAGCAGCAACCTTTCTCACTGTTCCTGGAACCAAACAGCACAGAAAGGAAGAATTGCCCTTCATGCTGGAACAGGGAGCCAGCGAAGGGGAACCGTGTAGACTGCCAGCATGCAAGCTCCCCCTTCAGATAATGTGATTCCATATCCTCAACTGACCATTCATTTGGTTGACCCTGAAAAGCCATCAAATCCAAAAGCGATCAGAAGCATGGATTCGAACCTCCTTTTTCTGTGCCCCAAGTGGTATCATGATTTACATGCATGCAATTAAAGAAAACGTGAAGCAACAGAGCTTGAACACAATACACTTGCTCACTCTTATTATGTCAACATTCGCATGAGCCCTTCCTTTTACTTTACCATTTCATAGAGAAGAAAGTGGCTCAAAGCCAGAGAGGCTCAGCAGGTGGTCCCTACTGGGTCCTGAAAAAGCCTCCAGAGGAGCTCTGCTATTTTACTGAAGCTTTAATAATTTTACAGGAAGATGCCACAGCTTAGTGGCAAAACATGTACTTTTCATGAAGGGCTAGATTCAGTCTCACATCTCCAGTTGAAAGAACTGAATAGGGGGTGTTATGAAAGGTCACTGCCAGTCTGAGCAAATACTGGACTTAGAAGTGTAAAGTTGGAAGAGTCATCTAGTCAATTAATAACAACAACAACAACAACAACAACAACAACAACAATTTATTTATACCCCGCCCATCTGGCTGGGCTTCCCCAGCCACTCTGGGTGGCTTCCATCAAAATATTAAAATACCACTGTCAGAGTTGCTTCAAGATCCTAGCTCACAGAGGATCACGCTAGCCAACGGTCATTTAGTAAAAGTCTTTATTGAGTTACAGTTTCCATTCTCAAGCTGCTGCGTGCAACTCTACGTCTAGTAGCTAGCTCGGCGAAGCTCCGTCTGAATCTCCGCCCCTTGTACACCAACTTAATATCTTAGCCCTGCTCCACCTTTTCCGCCTGACTGTTCTTCTCTGGGTCCCTCTGCCCCCCTGGGTCTCTTCCTTCCGGGATTCTTCTGACGCTGACCCCCCGGACCCTCCTGTCTCCTTGCGCCGGGCTTTAGGACCTGGCTCCCTTTCCGGGCTGCCTACTGCGCCGCCTTCCTGTGCATTTGAACTTGGCGCGCGCGCCCAACCTTCCACCTTCCGTCTAACCGTCTCTTCGCTCCCAGATGGAGGTGTGGCCACTCCTGACTCGTGCCCTCCCTCCTGTTGTGAGCTGCCAGCGCTTGCCCCCTGGCTCCCTTCCTCTTCCCTGTTCTCTGGCGGTGACGCTGGTCCCGATTTCCAACTGCTCTCCTCTGAGTCCCCTCTGGCTCTATCTTCCTGGGGTGCCCCCCTAAACTCCCCCCTTGCCCTGGCCACTGGTGCTCCTTTCTGTGAATCCTCCGATTCACTGGAAAGACTCGGAGATCTCGGGTCGTCGTCATCACTCATCTTTTCTTCTGCCTCCTCCCCTTCGCTCTCTGTTTCCTCCCTTGCCCTTGCCTCTGCTCCTGAACCCCTGACAACCACAATACATCAAACATTAAAAGCCTCCCTAAATACAGGAATCTCAACTAAAGCTGCTATGTCAGATGGCCACCCAACCTCTGCCTTAAAACCTCCAAGGACAGAGAGTCCACCACTTTTCCAAGGGAGTCTGTTCCCCAGTTGATCCTGATGGACAAACAGCTTGACCTGGTATAAGGCAGGTTCCTATGATCCCCAGTACTAAGGTCACATCTGGGGGTTCTGCAATCTTTTGGAGGAATGTTTGCATCCATGGATGAAACCTGAAGTCCTCTGAGATGATGGTACTCAATAATTGGCCGGAACATTGCCTGAAGAATATGCAGAGTTGTAGGCAACTAAATCATTGCACACATGGAACGACTTCAAAGACCATCACTTCCTCCCTCTCCCACTGCACTGTGCCCAAAACTGCCCCAGAGGTTTGGGGAACCCTAGATTAGATTTGGAAGGTGAGGTGCAGAAGGGAGCAGAGGGAGGGGAGGTTTGGTGGCGTGCTCAGAAATCACGATTTAATTGGATAGTGCTCATTCTTAATCTAGCGGGCAGGAAGATGTGAAATGCACCAGCAGTAGTGACAAAGGTGCACCTCAGTGTGACAGCATTTGAAGACCTACAATGACAAGCCTCTCAAGTTAACTACCATTTGGCTGTGCTACTCTGGGCCAATTTGAGAAGCCAGTGGACTGATTCTGTCAGTCAAAGCACATTCCTCAGAAAACAACAGTCCAAGACGGTTTTTCAGTCAGTGGGAAATCATTTGTATAAAACCGTGAGGAAGTTTTATACACGCAGGAGTAGAAACCAATCCCCAGTTGGCGTGGGAGAGAAAAGTGTTTCCGAAACAAAACAAACAAATGAAAAGCCATTCTTACCTTGAACTGGGCATTCCTAATACGGGTTAAATTCATCAGCATGACTCCAGAATTTACCCCAGTCACTCCGTAATATGGGTGGCGAGCAAACCGACTGTACCAGCCAATCTTTGGTATTTCGTGTTCCGGAGCCATGGCGGCCAGCTGCGTGGAATTGAATGCTCTCAGGAAGCCCCAGATGTCATCAATGGGTCGCAAAAATAGGACATCTGTGTCCACATACAGAAGGGAATCTACGTCTTTTAAAATCGTCTTTGGGGTTGGAAGGTAAAGGGTGCAGGGGAAAACAAACAGGCATCAAAGTCAGGAAGGCCAAAGAAGACAGATTACAGGCCAAGAACTCATTCACTCTGTGTATACATGCAAGACACAAAAGAACATACCACTTTGATCCAAATTCCTGCTCAGTATAGAGACATTCAATATAAATAAGCTCCTCAGGGTCAACTGGATGAAGTGAGCCAACTACTATGTTCTGGCGCTCAAGAGAATTAGGGAGCATGAGAAGATGGTGGAATGAGGGGTTTGCCACAGGGAATGTTTCTTGATTTTCATTTGAAGTATTTCTGTCTTACAGTTTGGTTTTAAATATAACTAACAAGAAATAATAAAAGTAAATCTCACATCACGAAGCTTCATAGCAACAAAATCAATATAAACAACAAAACACATTTTAAAAAAATTTGCTAAAAGGACAAGACTAGTTTAAGTTTGTACTGACAGACGATGGGGCCAACTCATACAACCAGGTAACAGCTTGGCTGCACAGTAGGTTTTTAAATGGTGGACCTCATTTCAGGCAAGGGAAAGACCACCCTGTGGAGAGGCACAATGTGATAAAGATTTTCATATTTTCAGGCTGCCTTCTGATAATTGCCACCGCTTGCCTGATCACATGAATTACTCCGAAAAAAGAACCTTGCTAAACAGCCAGAATCCACTGTGTGGTGTGAATGTAGAATTAGAAAAAGGAAAAAAAAGATAATTATTTGACCATATTCAGAACTCTGGTCCATCTACCCAGCTCTGTCTACTCTGACTGGAAGTGGCTTTTCAAAGTAACTTTTGAAGTGCTGGAAATGAGAGGTAAGATTGATGCACGAGTTACCTGGATATCTCGAAAGGGATAATAACAATCAGGCTGTTGATTCTTGTTCACAGTGTGCCCTCTTGTGGACACTTGGTTCTGTACGTATCCATTCATAATTTCAGTAATTGCATTATTAAAAAAAACACTTGTGTGGGGAGGTTTCAATATTTCTTCAAAAGCAGCAGAGTGTCTCTTTCCCATTTTACTTTCCTTCTCTCCTAATGATGTAGAAAATCCCTCCCTTTGTTTGCCTTCTTTCCCACAAAACTCTCTTATTCGATGGCCAGCAGAAGGGCTCAGGTGTGGGAAGAAACCGTGGTTGAAATTCCCCCTCTATGCAGTGCACAAGGTGCTATTGGGGAAGTCTCCTACTCTTCCCCAGACCAGCAACGGGGAGAGTGGGTGTACCATGTATATCACCTTGGAAGAAGAGAATGTGACATACAACAAACCCCTGCACTTTTAAATTGGCATAAAAATAGCATGCCTCCAAGTGCGTGGCCACATTTACTTTGCTAAAAAGACACTCGTGGGACATATTCAGCAGAGGAAAAGCCTTGATTGTCATTAGATTACCCTTGAGGTCTCAGTATTTGAATTTCAAATTTAATAGGAGCATTTTCCACTTCTGCAATTAGGTGCTCAAGATATTATTGCCCAAAGCTTCCAAGCATGAAAGTGGGGGCGGGGCAGGGAGAAAAGGGTTGGAATAAACAAAAATAAGTAATCGGTACTTTGGCTCTTAAATAAAATTAATATCTGTTTTATTGGAAGATATAGACCAGGCATGTCCAACTCCCAAGAGGCTGCAATCTACTCCCAGTATAAAAAAACTGGCAGTGACCATTGTCATTGGAGGGAGGAGGAGCGTGCGTAGGGTAGGTGGATTGCCCAGAGTTGTTGAGTTTTTTGGGGGGAAGACTGCACAGAGTTTTTAAGCTTTTCCCCATAACTTTTTGTACACGATAAGGATCCAGTGATCTACCAGGATCAGCCAGGGATCTACCAGTAGATCACGATCTACTGGTTGGACATCCCTGATCCAGACTATTGGAATGCATCAATAAATAATTTAGGCAACCTATTCTGGAGAAAATATTCCAGCCTATTTAATGGATATGGAGAGGCATTTTTGGTTTTTTAAAAAAACTTTGCTTTATCTTTGGCTTAGTTTTTGATCTGCGGTACATGCTCCACAACTGGTAGAGTAAGTTAGTGTTCTATACAGGAGACACTTCTACAGAAAAGCTGCAATTAAGACAATGTGCTTTACTCCACTTATGACAATGGTGTCACTTCTGCCGCACAATTCTGATTACAAATTGCGCTTCTTTCACAGCTTTCCCCACACCCTCATTATTTTGCAGATTCTTTCCCAGTCTCTCCAACACATATGTATTGTTGCAGCAAAATCTAGAAAACTTCTAGCAAAGTCACGACTGCCATTTATCGTGGCTTCTCCAATATCACCATTCCCCACCCCATTTTAAATGCACCATCATTAGAGGCTAGCCGAATATTCTTGGATGAACTTTAAGGCTAGGCAATTTAGGGACAGGTGTTTGAGCATGGGTTTATTAAGGCGAACCCCTCCTAGAATGGCCAAACTCTTCCTTGGATGAGATCCAGTTAATCAAAGATTTGGCCAAGCAAGAGCTAAGAACTCTGAGATCATTAGGTTTTGCTAAAATTAAAACAACCCCATGACATGGGTTCCTGGCTCCTGGTCGGAGTGTAAGCTCTTATATGCCTTTAGCAGATTTATGATGGGAGAGGGTCAGTAGCTGTGACTTTCCCTGTTGCAGTGCTGCAGGGACAGAAGAAAGCATATTTCCCCTGTCACAAAGCTGCTATAAGCAGAGGACACCCCCTCTTTTTAACTCCACGCACTGGCAACCAATCTGTGACAGAGAACAATTTGTTGCTTAAAAGGCAGGCATGACCAAAATTCACTCCCATCTTTACATATGATAGCTATGGGCTGGTGATAGGGTTGCCACTCAAAGAGCTCCAAAATAAGGTCTATGTTGTGAGAAAATAACATATTATGTCTGTCAGAAAACACATAGTACTTATTACAGTATACTGGAGGGATGGAGGAGGGGAGAGAAACAAACTCTGCTTTTTATTGACTGGCAACTAACACTATTATTTCAAAACGAAGGAACCGTTCCTTGAAACAAGCAGCAAGAAGCAAGGACATGGGCTGAAGCTGTAATTTGATGCCGCGGTTCTTCGAAGAAAACATCTCTGGTTGCAGAATGCCAACGTTCTGGGACCTTTTTGCTCTCTATAGTACATATGAGCCAGCTTGTGCTCTTGAGATACATCCTGGGAATGACCGGCGCTGTCTACAACTCATCCCAGGTGGTGTTTGTTGATAAGGCTCCAGTTCCAGGTTTTGCAGTGAGGAAGTTAGTTAATAACTTCATGATGTTCTCTGTATGCTTGGGCAGGCATCACATGTAAAACTGCTGCTGCTGCTGCTGCGTGCTTGCTATGCCTAATGAGAAGTTGGAGCATCTGCCTGCTAGCAAGGTACAGAATTTGAAGGTTTGTCAGAATAGTTTTAGGTTAAACTTAAGGTTGTGGGGAAGAGCTGTAGCTCAGTGGTGGAGCATCTGTTTTCCATACCCCCCCCCATTTTTTTAAAGAAGGCCCGCAGAAGACCAAAGCTGGGCAAGGCAAGTCCACATAAGTGTAGCAAGCAGAAACAGAAATGGCCAGATTAAAAGACTGCTGTTTCGCCTTTACTCATCTTTGTTTTGCCTTGATGTGTACACATGGGGCTAAGAAGCCGTCTCAGCTGGATTAAAGAGAGGAAGAAGACTGAAACCTCTGCTCCAACTGGAAGCTTCCAAATACATACTCCGAGCACACTGTACAACATTTTTCTAGGTGTCAAATATTCGCCGCGCATCAATCCCAGAGACAGCAGGGGTCATGCCAATCTTGCTGGAGTGCATGGCCTCAGAAGCACAGCAGCGCTCTGTTCAACAACAGAGTGTTTCAGATCACAGTAGGTTTTAGATCAGTGCTGGAGGAAAGAACAGCCTGGGTTACGTGCTCTCTGGCCTAGGCCCCGCCACTTAGCCTTAAGCCTTGGCTCCGGTTCCTGTGATGTGTGGTCCCAGATCTTTACATCAGAGGAGCACTGTTACAGACTAGCTATTGTTACAACTATTTCGCCCTAAGGGACCAGGGCAGGTTTCCACGATTTATAATGCAGTTTCGAAACTTGCAATTAAAAAGTCAATCACACACAAAAAACACAGGGTGGCTCCCGAAAATACAGTGCGATCATGCCCTATGCACATTTAACTCGCGCGATTTCAACAGCGGTTGAGGACCGCTGACTGAAAAAAAAATGCAAATTAAATGCAAGAAAGGTGGAGAGCTTAAAAGCTCTTTTTGCTCCAGAAAAACTCAGCATAGAAAAAAGGGGCTTTTAAGCTCTCCACCTTGCTTGGCAAGCAAGGCCCTCTCAGCATGCCAAGTCTGGGATGCTCTCACGAAATCTCAGATGGTCCTGTGAGATCTTGCAAGAGCATCCCCAGGGACCTGACACCAGCTCCAGAATCCCCTGGGTCTGAGGTTTTTTTGAGTTTGCACATATATGGAACCCTTGCAAGTGTAAGATGTGATCGTACTGTATAATTCTTGTGTGTCAAATGCTAGAGTAATGAGGTGCTTCTGAGGGTGAATGGAACCAAGAGTGTTCCCATCTGTTGACCTTAGCGCCCGAGGGGGTCTTATGGGAAGGAGGTGGTCTTTTGGCTACTGCCAGCTTGCTTGTCAGCCTCTGCGACCCAGCTCTGCTACAGCTGAAAGCACCTCAATCTTGCCTGCTGTCTGCTTCTCTGCATGCCCCAGTAAATAGCAGGTGAGTGTTAGTGCCATGATGCTAAAAACCTGAACACTGAACACAAATAAGCATTAAGTGGGAAGGAAGCACCGGTCACTCGCAGCAGGGGGTTTGCCCTCCTGTGGAGCAAAACCCTCACCTGCCAGGGCCTTAAGAAGAGGGGCTTTTTAAGTGCTCCGCAACATAAAACGAAACAAAACATCACTGAGACTGGCACCTTGTTGGGCTTTTGGAAAGACGGTGGGAGAGGAGGAGCTGTTTGACAGGTCCGCAAGCAAACAGACTGTTTCAATTTGTGCGCGAGGGAGGTCTCAACATTTCTAAGGCCAATGCAGTTTCTTGGGTTCAGCTACCTCAGGCTGCAGTCCTCAGCACATCTACTCAGAAGAATGTCCCACTGAATTTGATGTGGCTTACTCCTAGGTAAGTGGGGCTAGGGTTGTGGCCTTTGCCCAAGTGCCTTACCGGGAGAAAGAGCCGCTGGGCTGCGCATGGCTTGAATAATTTTTTCCATTCCTGAGCATTTCCCACTGAAAAGGCGATTGGGTAGACATTATATTCAAACTTCTTTGTGTACGAAGGGGGCCATTCCTGTAGCTGAAAAGCACAAGGAGGAAAGTGAGGGGGGATTAGAATTCCTGAGAGGCTGTTTTGTGGGAAATGCTATTGCTCTACAAAGTCAAACAAATTAAAACAAAGCTCTTACTCAGGCAGAGCTTTATTGAGGGCTTACTACTAGAAAAGAGTTTATCCGCTCATTAACTTGTGGCTGTCAGAGCATTTCCAAGTGAATCTGCAAGCTTATAATCAAAGATCTAGATTTGGTTGGTGTTTCTTTAAAAAGAAAGAAAGAAAGAAAGAAAGAAAGAAAGAAAATAGTGCAGGGGACTCACTTTCCTCTCAAATTCAGGTTTCAGGGAATCCTCAGCAAAGATGTGAAATTTGAGTTTCCTGTAGCTAAAGAGAACTGCTGATTTCAGCATGACGAGAGTTTCTTCCAGCCGGTCGCCACATGCTACAACCGCAAGATGCATCCACTGCGGAGATGAGAGCGGGGCTGCAGAATGCTTCTGGTCCTTTGGTCTCCTAAAAATATATACATTTAAAAAAATGCACTTGAGTGAGACAAAAATAATCATCTTTGGCGGTTTTATATTAAATAAGCACAATACTGCAAATATAAAAAGAATCAGAGAACTGTAGAGTTGGAAGGGACCCAGAGGGTTATCCATTTCAACCCCTGCAATGCAGGAATCTCAGCTGAAGTATCCATGACAGAGGACCATCCAACCTCTGCTTAAAAACTTCCAAGGAAGGGAGTGTCCACCACTTTCCAAGGGAGTTGTGATCTTAGACTGGATTCGAAGAGCTTGCCAGTGTAATTTTAATCATGTGACCTAATCAGTTTTAAGGTGCTAAAATCTTTCCTTTATTATCTTCCATCATCACAATTGTTTCCTCATGCACAGCTTGGTTTTAGTTTCAGATTCAAAAAGCAAATTCAGAAATGTAACTCTGGCTGTCAAGTAAGAGTCTGGGTGGCTTCAAATGTTACAGGACGCTCACATCTGGTCAGCAGCCTTTTCTGATTGCAGAGATACGCTTGCAAACATGCAGGCACAAGTTTCCAGGAGATTTTGGAGTGAATTTCCGGAGCTCTTTGCTGAGTGACTCCTGCAACCATGAGAGGAGGACATAACACAAAAACACTGGAACCTTTCTTTTTTAAAAATGTATCTTTTTATTAAAGATTTCTTGGTTTACAAAAGTGTGTGCAATGCCTTTTTTCAAGTTACATTTTCTACAAATCAGTTTCATTTGTTGAGACATTAGTGTTACATTAGGAAGAAAAAGGGGGGAAGAGGTGGAGGGGGCCATGGTGAGTGGGGGTGGGGTCGGGTGGCAATGTTTCTATTTTACTTATTGTACGTGTGGGGTTTTGTGTCAGCGTCGCTTGTGCAGGTTCTCTTTCCTATTCGCTTGTGTGAGAGGCTGGGGTTGGCCTAGGGCATGGGTTGGCAAACTAAGGTCCGCGGACCAGATCAGGCCCAATTACCTTCTGGATCTGGCCCGTGGATGGTCTGGGAATTGCCGTGTGGATCGCCAGTGCACACGTTCTTTCCCTCTCCCAGCGGTGCTGGCACCTCCTCCCTCCCTCCTCCTGGCTTCTCCCTGCCCTGCCTAGAGGAGGAAGGGGGCTGGGCTTTGTTGAGCTGCGGTTGGCTGAGTGCAATTTTAAGCAGCCCCTCTCCGGAACTAGCCCTTTCGCACTGCTAATTGTCCCTCCGCCGCCACCAGCCCCTGCCGCTCGCAAGACACAGGTAAGCAGCCACTGGGGCTTGTGGTGCTCTTGTATCATTCCCCACCCCCCCAAAAAAAATACAGTCTGCCCCCCCCCAAGGTCTGAGGGACAGTGGACCGACCCCCCTGCTGAAATAGTTTGCTGACCCCTGTCCTAGGGTGTGATTGTTTGTTTGTGATTGGCTGTGGTGTACTTTGCTTTTATGTGTGAATGGGGTGAGTGGGTGTTTTTGAATCAGGTTAGCCATATTGATTTGTATGCTGTTGGTGGATTCTCGTCATTGTCTTGTTGGGCTGTGTACGTGATAAAAAGGAGCCATACTGGGGTGAAGGGGTCTTCTTCCATTTGTCCCTGTGTCAGTTTCAGTTTATTGGTTAGTTTTTCTAATATGACTGTTTCCCATACTATTTGGTCCCATTGGTCCACGCTTACCCCCACTGGAACCTTTCTGACCTGCATCCTACTTATTTGATTCCCTGTGCCTCATGAGTAGTCATTTGTTCACTCCAATCCTCACTCTGCCAACAACCCAGCTCTCAAAATTACTACTTGTTCGCTCCACAGATTAGCTACCCATCGTTTACTCATGAATAACAAGATGTGACAAATCACTGAGCAGCTGAGATAAAACTATCCCTGGAATGGGGGCAACCCGTAAGTGGGCAAGAGGGGAAGAAAGAACAGACGCATTGTACAAAAAAGAGAATGTGGGAACTCTTAAGAAACTATCCCTAAAACAAAGTGAATGTAAACCGAAGGCCTCAGTGTTCAGAAGAAAGGTTTCTAATATGCCCAGCATAGCTACTTCTTCCATGGCTTTCTATCACACTTCCCCCCTCCCTCATATCCTCTCTGTTACCTCTGTGCTACTTACAAAGGCTTCCTCTTGCTCCACACCACCATTTCCCCCAAAATTCAAAATTACGTGGAAATGCAAAGAGCGATCATGCTCTTTGGAACTATGTTATGCAAAACAACGTCATCCATCTGCACAATTTATTCTCAACACAGAATCATGGCTCCCTTGGTGCAAGGATATAAAGAGTCCAGCAACTAGGGTACTTCATTTGTAAGCGGAATGGATCCCCCCTTCTCTCCCCCCCCCCACGAAACTACAATGAAGTCTGCATGCAATAGCTGCTGCTCTGTATTGCAACATAAATCTTCTCGCGCCTTAAGGGAACACAAGCGTTTGGTACCTGACTGGTTCAAGAACGCAATATATTTCATTAATTGCTGAAAAGTCCACGGGCTTTTGTCTTAATTAAAGCTCAATTTCTTGCAGTGGATAAATAATGGCACACTACACTTATGCAAATAGTATTTACTTTCCAGCCAATTAGTGCAAAACCCGCTGAATTATTAAAGTGCATAATTGGCTGCTTGCATGGATTGTGCTCCTTCCCCTTTCTTATGGCACTGCTTTTTGCCTACTTCTCCTATGCTTACTCTTAATTGCATCATTAAATCAAGCTGTACACAGAAAATGAAAGCTTTGATATAGCTCGCCCCTGCGTGCTACAATCGAAGCAGGTAGAAAACTTCAGCTGTTCATTACCTTGAAGTTACGATGTTAAGAGTGTTTTCGTGCCACCAATGTAGCCCTTAAGCACGGACACTAACGCTATGCATAGCCTTGAATAATCAAAGGTGGCATCCCAGCAAAATGAACTCCTGGAAAATACTACTTTTTGTTTCGAGTCCTGGGAAAGAAAAACCCGCACTGATCTCAATAGGCTGCATCAGAGAAGAAAGGTTTAAATCATTTACGTTAATTTTTAGGACCCACCTTTTTTCTGTAATTTTAAGTTACCTTAAAACGTTTTTGTGTACTGCTGTGTTTTAATTGTTGTAACTCATCCTAGGACCTTAGAGTATAAGGTTGGTAATAAAATGTTATAAATAATAACTTTCCCCTTTCCACCTGCTGTGATTCTGAAAATTACTGTACCTGCACTCCCACGCCCACTGATGCTATTTGCACTTAACATAGTGTTTAGTTTGGTCCGGTCTGGAATAAAATAACTATGTGCATCAGGGAGAAACTACCCCTGGCATCTTCCCAGAGTGGAAATGTGCTTCCTTCTGCTCCTGAAGTACTAGAAGGTGGAAAGGGGGTTTTTCGTCTTCCTGGCTGCAGGTTCTTTGGGTCTGGTGCCACAGAGCTGGCATTGGAGTCAACATCAGCCCTGAAGGCTTGCCAGGGCTGGGAGTTGTAGAGCTTTGCTTCCTTTTAAACAGCTAATGGAGAAAACACCGGGACTCTTACTAGCAGTACATCTGAAAAGGATCTAGCTTCGGGAGTCAACAGGTGGTAAGTCTGGTGGACTTAACACGAAGAATAATAATTTGGATTTGATATCCCGCTTTATCACTACCCTAAGGAGTCTCAAAGCGGCTAACAATCTCCTTTCCCTTCCTCCCCCACAACAAACACTCTGTGAGGTGAGTGAGGCTGAGAGACTTCAGAGAAGTGTGACTAGCCCAAGGTCACCCAGCAGCTGCATGTGAAAGACTGGGGAATCGAACCTGTTTCACCAGATTACGAGTCCACTGCTCTTAACCACTACACCACACTGCTCAACAGTGTGATGCAGAAGGGGAAAGGCAATGCTATTCTAAGCTGCACCAACTGAAGTTTAGTGTCTAGATCAAAGGAAGTCACAGTACCACTCTATTCTGACTTGGTCGGACCACACCTGGAATACCGTGTCCAATTCTGGGCACCACAATTTAAGGAGGATATTGACAAGCTGGAATTTATGCAGAGCAGGGCATCTAAGATGATCAGGGGTCTGGAAACCAAGCCTTATGAGGAACGGTTGAGGGAACTGGGTATGTTTAGGCTGGAAAAAAGGAGACTGAGAGGAAATATGACAGCCACCTTTAAATATCTCAAGGGCTGTCACATAGAAGGGGGAACAAACTTGTTTTCTCCTGCTCTGGAGGGTTGAGCTCGAACCAATGGCTTCAAGTTACAAGAAAGGAGATTCCAAGTAAACAACAGGAAGAACTTTATGATGGTAAGAGCTGTTCGACAGTTGAACAGACTCCCTTGGGAGGTTGTGGACTCTCCTTCCTTGGAAGTTTTTCAGCAGAAGTTGGGTGGCCATATGTCATGAATGCTTTAGCTGAGATTCCTGCAATGCTGGGGATTGGACTATTTGACTCTTGGGGGTCCCTTCCATCTCTACAATTCCATGGCACGATGATTCTTTAGGGACGCGGGTGGCGCTGTGGGTAAAAGCCTCAGCGCCTAGGGCTTGCCGATCGAAAGGTCGGCGGTTCGAATCCCCGTGGCGGGGTGCGCTCCCGTTGCTCGGTCAAAGCGCCTGCCAACCTAGCAGTTCGAAAGCATCCCCGGGTGCAAGTAGATAAATAGGGACCGCTTACTGGCGGGAAGGTAAACGGCGTTTCCGTGTGCTGCGCTGGCTCGCCAGATGCAGCTTTGTCACGCTGGCCACGTGACCCGGAAGTGTCTCCGGACAGCGCTGGCCCTCGGCCTCTTAAGTGAGATGGGCGCACAACCCTAGAGTCTGTCAAGACTGGCCCGTACGGGCAGGGGTACCTTTACCTTTACGATTCTTTGATTCTAGCAAGGAAAAATCAATTCACGGTGCAACAATGCACCGAAAGGCAGAAATTACAGAATACAAGGAATACCACATAAAGTGAAACCCGACAAACGCCCACATAGCTGCAAACAGCGCAGCTTTCCGTGAAGCACAAAGCAACCAACACTCCACCAGGCTTGCCATTTCTCCTAAAACAGAAGAAGATGGGT